TTTGAATTTGTCGAAAAAATCATCCATATCTTTCGGTATTCTCTCCCTCAATAATGGCAAATGGTAGAGGAAAGACACATCTATTTGCATCTGCTCCCCTGGCAATGAGTAGAGTTCCCTTGTACTTTCCGGTAAGGAATGTTCCATCGACTTGCATCACAAGGACACAAAAGGGAAAACCATCAATAGATGGCTTGAATGACAAAAAAAACGTTTGAAATGGAGTTTGTTACCGGGCTCCGACGGCTGAATTTCTTCATCTTGGTTGCGGGGTGAGAAAACAATGCCAGGGTTAGACGCCTCCAAAGCCAAAATCAATCTAGGAAGGAATGCATATGATTCTTCCCAGTCACCAAAAAGGCAGTCATTGCTTTCTACTTTCCATGCCACGCTTTATTATAGTTAATAATATATCCATAATGACTAGAAATGTACGCGATGATGGCTTTGACCTTCAGGTTAGGCTGTTCTTCAATTAGATGCTTGATAGCTGCGACAATCACCCTGGAGTTCAACTGTCGATGGCTCTGGGATGTTATGGATGACACACATATGTGAGTGTTCACCGCACGGGATATGACCCAATGGCCGACTCCCTTGCTCTTGATGGCTCGGACCCTAGTCTTGCATCTCTCGTGTTTATTTTGGCATTTAACTATGAGCATCTTTGTGTCGGAGTGAGTTGTGTGCCATTCGAAATCCGAGTCATCGCTTTTGTGGCAATAGCGTGTCGCACCTCATTTTTCGTAGCAAATTGTTGGCCCTTCATAAACCCAGTCAGTTGGCCCCATACTAGAACCTCTGGCGGCTCCATGTCAGCATCAACATACCAATTTTCATTTGAAATGTAATTGTAGTACGGGATAGGTACACGGTCACGAGACAACTCATCATCATCTGCGTCTAAATCAGGGCATGAATCATTAGCACCTTCAAGAGTGTCGATGATGTCTGCACTGACATCACCTTCCTCCTCTTCATCCTCAGGGTCACTAAATGGACATGGCAGGGCATCTTCCATCTGATTCGGATAATGAAAGGCACCTTCATCAGCTCTGTAATGGTAGTTGTGATAACTACCGCTGCCTTGGTGGAAGTTGTACTCGGGTTGGTACTGGTAGCCTTCTTGTTGGTTGTCATGGTACCCTTGGGCTTCTTCTTCATATGATGGGAAGGATTTTGTATGACCTCCACCTCCTTCCTAATACTCATGGTAGGTACGAGGATCATGGTAACCTTGGTAGGGATGATCTTCGTATAATCCACCTCCACTGCGAATATCAGATGTTTGGCCATCTCCAGAATTACCTCCACCGACTTCAACCGCCTCGATATAAACATACATCTCTGCTTGATTTTTGTTATTGGGGATAAAAAATTCGACCATGGCATCTACATCCTCCTAAGTGGTTATGAGAAATTCCTCATACCACAACGACCCGCCATGTTTGTTTGGATATCGATACACCATACGATCAACTCTTCTCGTGCCATCCATGCAAGTAACTTCAGTACACATTTGACGGAGCTCTTCAAGGTTCGGTCTCGTAGAGACCTTGACTTTATGAAAATTACCACCGACATAATGTATCCCCTTTCCGGTCTCTTCCATATAGCCATTGCATCGTAACCCAAGCGTGAACTTTTGAATGATATCTGCAATAAAGTCGTAACTAAATTAATACCGTCAAAATCACAAATAACAATAAAAAGTGCAACAAGACAAACTTATGAAGTAACGTTAATCGCAAAAACTAAAAAGTAAAGGTGCAGAACAGAAATATGAAGAAGAATAATGAGAGAGGTGATGAGCTTAGGTTCTCAAAGCTGCCTTTTATAGGCAAATTTTTGACTGAAAACCGCAGGGGGCGGTTTTAGTTTGCCATGCATGCAGCCCCACCCCCTGCATGCCGACATGTCGGATGTTGGGGGGAATTGGGACGGCATACAAACCGCTGGGGGAGGGAGGAGTTTGTGTGTCGACAATACAAACCTCATCCTCGAAGAGCGGTTTATATTGTCGACATAGAACCGCTCCTTGAAGAGGCGGTTTATGTGTCGCGACACCTATGAACCGCACCTCCAAGTGGGGGTTTGTACAAATAATACAAAATGTCTCCTCCCCATGCGTTTCTCCCATGAACCGCCACCTTAGCAAGTGCTTCATATGCAAACCGCCTCCTTGGGTAGCGGTTTTGAATTTATGGTGGTAGTTTTGAAATTTTTTCGGTTTAGGTGGTATATTTGTAATTTTTTTAACAGTGGTAGTTTTGGATTTTTTCTCATAATAATGAGATTCAGCGTGCTGATTTGTTGATCGGACGACGACCGACCTAGAGATTGTTATACTACAGAGCATTCTGACCGTCGTGCATCAAAGGGAGACGAAAGGTCAAGCGAGTGGAGCCAACCCAACCCGTCTGACCCGCCGAGTCATTCAGGGGTTGGGTCAAGTGCCAGGTTTCAGACAAGATGGTTCTCATAGCTCATTGGGGCAAAAGAGAACACAATTAAACCAATAGGCCATGCTTCACGTCCCTTTCACCTTCGTTCTCCCCTCCTGTTTTCTCAACCTTTGAACAAATCGAGACAATTTTTTAGCAGAGAATTTCGCTGTGTCTGATTTTTGTCTCGTTTCCATTCCAAGTATTCTATATTCGAATCTCATCAATGTAAACGAAAGAACAACAAAAAGATCGAAACTTTCTCCTTTGGGGTAGGCAAAATTTCAAACCTTCCATACTCACTCCCCCTCCTTCCCCGCATCCTCCTTACCTCCTCTGCTTTTCTGCAACTCTCCCTCTCTCTCCCCCCAGTCTCTTAATCGAAGCATGGTCTGGATATGACACTCCCTCCGCCCAACACCCCCTTCCCACTTCGTAAGAGTTCCCTCTTCTCATTTTCTTCTCGCCCTCTTTCTGCTAAGTTATTCGTTCAATTTCTGAACCCCCTTTATGAGTAGCTCAGTTTGATGATTAATCATTTTTTTTCCTGGAACCTAACAATAAGAATGAATACCCATTCTTGAAAACACTGTCTCTTTGGGAATTGGCAACGATGAACTGCTATATAACTTGGGTGATGATATCATTTGAATCTTTTCCCACAACACTGAATTTGTCGTATGCCTATCCGCAGCTTTTGATCAGAGACGCGGATTATGTCAAAGTTCGATTCTTTTCTTACCACTGGAACCTTATCATGAAAAACATCCACCTGATTGTGTCAGATTGTGACAATTTCAGTTCATATTCACATTTCATTCTCTCATCTTCTTCCGCCATTTGAATCTCTAGGCTCTGGCCATTGTTTGGGCGAGCAATTCCCATTTTATCCATCATCGAGACAAGCTTCTGTAATTTTATTTCAGGATGGCGACATAAGGGAACACAGGGGACCCGAGAACAAGGAGCTCCATCTCAGTCTTCATCGTGGCCGGTTTATGTTTCTTCTTCTACATCTTGGGCGCATGGCAACAAAGCGGGTTTGGTAAAGGCGACACAATCTCTCAAGTGGTCCCCAAACAAACGACCTGTAGCATCCTCAGCGATCTGGCTTATAAGACCAGCGGCGATGCCGATGTGTCTGCACTCGATGTCAAAGATATTCCGAGAAGCTCCATTGCCTTATCCCTGCGCCAAAGGGATATGCCACCCCTTTCCCGTGGCCCAAGAGTCGTGACTATGTTCCCTATGCTAAGGCACCTTATAAGAGCTTGACAGTTGAGAAAGCTATCCATTACAGGATTATATATGAGGGGAATGTGTTTAGGTTTCCAGGTGGTGGAACCCAGTTCCCCCAAGGAGCGGATGCTTATATCGATCAGCTTGCCAACGCGATCCCCATTGATAATGGGATGGTTAGAACTTCCTTGGATACTAGATGTGGGGTAATCGATATAAGCTCTAACTATTTTGATCGGACAAAATGATTTTCCCTCCTGATATTGTACCTCAGGGGCTAATTGAACCTGCATTTTGGTGAATTTAGGTTGCTAGTTTAGGTGCATACCTTTTCAAAAAGAATGTTCTTACCATGTCACTTGCACCGAGAGACTCGCATGAAGCGCAAGTTCAGTTTGCACGGGAAAGAGGAGTTCCAGCTGTCATTGGGGTTCTTGGAACAATAAAGCTCCCCTATCCTTCTGGAGCATTTGACATGTCCCACTATTCTCGTTGCTTGATTCCTTGGGGTGCTAATGGTAAGATTGTGATGATTCTCCTTAGTGCAAAACATAATCAAGTATATTGATCTTAGAAATTTGATAACGAAATGGTTGGCCAACTGCAACAATGCATATCTTCACATGCAGTGTGTTTCACAGGTTTTATGACCACTTTTGAGCATCTAGGAGGCAGTTGACAACAAAAATTGTTTTTGTTTTTGTTTTGGTTCAGATGGAATGTACATGATGGAAGTTGATCGTGTTCTAAGACCAGGTGGTTACTGGCTGCTTTCTAGTCCTCCCATCAAATGGAGGACTTATTATGAAGCATGAAAGAGAACTAAAGAGGACCTTGAAGCAGAACAAAACAAGATTGAAGAAATCGCCCGACTTCTTTGCTGGGAGAAGAAGGATGAGTTAGGTGATATTGGTATTTGGCAGAAAAGTCTAGACCCTGGATCTTGCACAGAGCAGTGCACCATGTGTTAATCCTCAGATCCCGATGATGTCTAGTGAGTCATATTGTCAATTCTCCAATGTTCCAAAGACCTATGTATATAACATTAAGTGTTCCTAATGGCTAATGGCTTCCTTTGCTTCCTGCTTTAGGTACAAGAAAATGGAGCCATGTGTAACTCCATCTTCCAAGATTGATGCGTCCGAGTGGAAGCCATTTCCTGATAGACTTAAAGTTGTGTCTTTCAGAGTATCTAGTGGGGCTATATCTGGAGTCTCTCAACAGGAATACCTGTAAGATAGTCGGGGATGGAAGAAGCATGTAAATGCTTATAAGAGAATAAACTAAATCCTAGACACGGTGAGGTATCGCAACATTATGGACATGAATGCTGGCATGAGAGGTTTCACTGCAACCCTTGAATCTTCTAAATTGTGGGTTATGAACGTTGTGCCTACCATTGCCGAGAAGAACACCTTTGGTGTTGTATTCGAGCGTGGTTTGATTGGCATTTATCATGATTGGTAACTACTATTGAAAAACTTTCCCCTTCTATTATTAAGTGGTATTGTGACTTAATGTTGTTCAATAAAAGAATTTCACTTCTACTGAGCATCATACTTGGGCCTAGAAGAGTTAGGCAGTGAAGGAACACAACCACTAGTGGGAGTTGTATTCTTTACTAAAATGCGATCAAATACATTAATTGTTTTATTGAAATGGTTTCTTAGCTTTGATTTGGTGGATCTCACATTCATATGTTCTTTTCAATGCTTTAACTTATCATCTTATTCTGGTCCTTGTTATTAGGTGTGAAGCTTTCTCTACATACCCAAGGACGTATGATCTCATTCATGCAAATGGCCTCTTCAGCTTGTACAAGGACAAGTGAGTGATTACCCTAGTATTGGTTAATCAAGGAAGTATTTTTTCATGATTCCTTACATTCATAACGATGGGCCAAAAAGATGAGATGCTCCATTTCAAATTACAAAGGGAATAGTTGATAACATACAGACTATCTTGTTCCCTTATTTGCAGGTGCAGCATGGAAGACATTCTACTATAGATGGATAGGATATTAAGGCCAGAAAGAACAATGATATTCAGAGATCATGTGGATGTTCTTGTCAAAGTGAAGAAAACTATTTCAGGAATGAGATGGAATACGAAAATGGTAGCCCACGAAGGTGGCCCTCTTGTTCCAGAGAAGGTGATGTTCGCCGTCAGACAGTACTGGGTTGCAGGACAACATAATGTGACTAAAACTAATTAGAAGAGTTAGAGCTTAGAGGCAGCATTCAAACCCACCCATTTTTTCTCCCTCATAACGAAAGGCTACACTCTTGGTCTCAAGGCAATCAGACACATTCATCTTATCAACCATGCTAGTCTGGTTAAGAAAATGCCAAGATTATGCTCTTATGCAGTGCCATTTCATTTCATTTTGCTGTGGATAGAAAGAACATAGGTAAACTAGTATCAATCTTCTTGCAAAGTTTTCTTCTTTCTTTTGATCCCCATTTGCCAGCATTCTACTAGAATCACCTGAGATGTAGTTTGAAAGTGGTGATATTGTCTTCTATATGTCTTTGCTCTTGAACTGTAAAAAAGCTTCCACTTTTCTTCTTGTTTATTATTACTAACTCATTGCCTCAGGTTTGCATTCATTATTATCAGCAAATCTCATTCCCTCTCTCTCTCTCTCTCTCTCTCTCTCTCTCTTGGCTGTGCAGCTTACCAGTTAGTTACTAGAATGTTCCTTAGACTGGAAAGATGGGTTGTGAATTCCATTCCCATGCTTGTCGTGACTCAAACAGCCAACACTTGGCTAGCTGAAAGGAGGGGGGTTTCCTTCGCTTTTCAAGCTGGATGCCTTACCTATTTCCCTTCTGCATGCATTGTGGGAATACTTTCCCAACACAGCTGCCTCCTGTTTGGTTGCTGTGTCTTGTATGGCAGCCTGCTAGGGATAGGGAATGTCTCATTGGTTTGGACTTTGGAGGCAAATGGGTCAATATATTGTGGCCATGCTAGCATACTTTTTGTGGCATCCCTACAACGAATTAGTATCCCAGCAGCAAACTAAGGCCACCATTTTATGATGTCTTCATTTATGGTGTACTACCCTACTCCTTATCCCAGAGGAGCCCCATGTTCCATAAAGGTTGCACATTCCTCTAGCTCCAGGGGAATAGTTGTTTGTTCATGTCCATGATTTTGAACATCAACTTAATGCTTTTTGGCATGAACGAATTCAGAAGATATTCATTTGGCAGACATGTATTGTAGAATACAGGAATTTCAAGAGTTCACTTCGACAATTCACTTTCCTCAACAGTTCACTTCGAAACTCGTAGTACTCTCGTCGTGGGAGCAGAGAAAAGCGACCTTTCTTTTTTAGCCTTCTTCTGCATCGGCTCTTGCTCCAACAAGAAATCTGTCCATGCCATCAGCAAACAGGGTGTCAGATTTGAAGTTGAACACAACAACCCAGTGAATTGGGTAGGAAGAAAAGTACAAAGCAAGTCGGGATTTCAGAATCCAGTCATTACCCGCTTAGTAGAGGAAGAAGGAAGGAAATCTCTGGAAGTGTTTAAGACTCGATCAAAGAAGAAAGAAGAAGACATAATCGTTGTGGATTAAGAAAGGAAGCTATTCTTGCTTACATGAGATGCAATTTCTAACCCACGACAACAACAATTAAAACAAACCCTAATCATGAAACCGAAACCCATAAAGAAGGAAATGGTGTATGATGAAGAGAGCAATGGAAGTGCAGATCTTTTTAAAATCGAGACAACTTTAGTGAGCACGCTGCCAATGTTCACAAACCAGGATGAGGGTTATGCTACCCAAACGACTCGTCCGAGACGAGTCGTTATGTGCCTAGCAAGGTGAGTGTGGAGTGGACTGTGGTTACGGCTAGTGCTGACAATTTCTCATTTGCTGCTTCAGGGTATGGTTATGATAATAATAAGAAGCCTGCAGGTTCTGGAACGAGAGGTATCTCTCCTGCTAATGTTACTGTGGCAAAGGGAAGAAGATCGTCAAATGGGAATGGTGGTGGAATCCTGAGCTGCAAGATTCTCAAGGGTGTGGAGGTTGTTGAGACTGTTGGTGTGCACAAGGGGAAACTACGCTCTGCTTCGCCTACAGCTTCCAAGCAAAAAGTTCCAGGAAGCTGAAACAGGGGCTTTACTTTGCTTTAAAAAAATGCAAGATGGTCTTTCGCCGGTTGTTATTTTTCTTATAGACTATCACGAAGGCTGGAATTTGGAAGTGTGTTTTGATTCTCAGTTAAAACTTAAAAAGAAGAGTAAATATAATATATTAATTAAATCTTTCATTTTAAATAAGACTAGATATGCCTGCTTGTTGTGTTTTGCGTAAAGCGAGACATGTAAAATGTTATATGTGATTGTAAGAGAGAATCAATTAATTAATGTGGTTCTCTTGTTCTATCGATAATGATTCAAAAATGGAAAATAGATCGTTGAAACATACGTAATTGAAATACGCGTGACCCAAATATGTGTGGTTTTCTTGTTCTATCAATAAATATTGGTCAGCTCACTTGCGCTTCACAGTGAGTTGAAAGGAACGTTGTAACTGTGTTGTATGAAATATTTATCAAAATATAATTCATAAGGCAATTACAAAAGCAACAAGAAAAATCACAAAGATGTCACTCTGACCAATGAGGGTATGGCTCAGAGGAGGACAATTTACACACGATGAAGAAGTATTTGTTTGATGTGGAGTTAAAACTATTAATTAAAGAATTTACCAATTGATTATGCATCTATTTTAGCCCAACAAACAAAAAGGTAAAAATAGAATTTACCTTGGATTGTCAACTAAGATAAAAAAATATATAATAAATCAAAAAATTCAAAGAAAAAAGACGGAAGAACCTAGCATTTAGTTTCGTTGGTTCCAAGGCTACTTCCATTCTTCTCGATTGGGAGAGAGATTTTTATTGTTAACATCATATATGACATCGAGCGGGAGGGATAATTAAAAATGCAAAATCAAAAGAGAAGCTGTTTGACATCCAACTGTTAACTTTCTATCCAGCCAACTGTCAGTTAACTCTGACGTGGCACATTTATTGTTGACATGGAAATTTTTTTGTGACATGGCGGAAGCAAATGTTTGACATGGATAAATTAGAAATCCAAATCAGAAAATAAAGGAGTCAGCCTCTATTCTGAATTTAACCCTAACCCCCCTTCTCTTCCCTCACTGCCTCATCACTCTTTCGGCACCACTGCTACCTTTGACAACCACCGCCTCAACCATCATTCCTCCACCATCTTCGAGGGCCTGCATTTCCCTCCTGCTCAGATTCTCATGGATTTTCCCACCATATTCAGCAAGCCACTAATGACCCAATTGCACCCTTCTCTTCATCGGCTTCTTTTGCATCTACCCCCTACAAGTGAACCTTTTTGACCCACTGCCATGCCTTCGCCTCCTCCATTGCCTCTGCCTCGTCACTATTCCTCCCTTTCCAAATCACCCACCATTTTCCATTTCTCTTCATCCTCCTCTCCTCACCACTCGCTATTGACTCTCTCAATCGATTGGGAAAAGATTGGTCGCCGCCTGAGCCATTGATTTATCTGTACTAGGAAAAGATTCGTTAAGTTGTGAATTGAGAGGTCATCAGGGATTGAGAAAACCTAGTTATGTTTGTTAGGATAAGAGTTGTATGAACCCATATTCATGATTGATTGACATTATATACTCAATTGAGATTCGGGGTGGTATTCGGTCGGTAAACGGTTTCCCGAATTTACCGGTTTCGATATACCAATAGTGGCTAAATTGGAATTGATTACCGATACCGGTTTATCGATTATCGATAAACGGTTACAAACCGGTATTACCGAAATACCGTGAGAAGCGACGTCGGGCGGCGGGAAAGCCGGAAAGTGGCGGAGGAGGACTGAAAACTGGGAAGGGCTGGTGACTGGCGTCGCGTCGCGCGTCGGCGAGGGAAGGGAGAGACGAGAGCCAGGGAGGGCTGAGTCAGGGGAAGCGCGCGAGTAGCTCGTCGCCAGCAGAAAGAGAGGCGATCAGGCGAAGGAAGACGAGAAGAGGAGAGCTGAAGAGGTGGCTGCGCGACACGGTCTCGAAAAGAAAACGAAAAGAGGAGAGGTCGGGACTCGGGCGGGGTGGCTCGGTCGCTGGGTAGAGGTTTTTCTAGGGTTTGGGAGGGCCAAGCAAAACGCCGGTTACCGTGTCTGGTAAACCGGCTTACCGTCGGTATTTACCGATACCGTATCTGGTAAACCGAGTCGCCTAAGTTCCCGCTCGACTGTCGATACCGCCGGTTACCGGTTCGGTAAAACGGTAAACCGTTTACCGGCTTACCATTTACCAACCTAATTGAAATGTTTATTCATAATTGCATGAATTTTGATCACATTCCTGCCATTGCAGCTTTGACCTAGAATGTTTATTCATGAAGCAACACACCTTATATCGCAATCAAAGACTCGCTGGTCGGATGCCATGGTTTGGCTGGACAGACCACCCATGTGTTTAGTTAATTAACTGCTGCAGCTTGATAATGTAATCGGGGATCCGGTCCAGCTTCTGTAATCGGCTCCCTAGAATTTCAGATTCACGTATTTTTCATTTTATCGGGGATCCGATCCGGCTTCTGTATAAATAGGCCTCTTTATAAACAAGGTAGAAACTAGAAAACATCCACCAAATTTGGGGACTCCACTTAGTAATTGCCGGCTCGCTCTCTCCGGAAATATCTAACCCGACGTTTACCTTGACTAATATGATGATGTCCAACCGGCAACAGGTCGAACCGCCTATCTAAGTTACCAAACTACCCCCGTCACAAACAACCTATGAAGTTTGAACGGACTGAAGTACCCCTATCGTACGTGTCGTTCACCCATTCGCCTCAACATTTCCGGACTAATGCCCTCGCCACCCGGCTGATAAAACCTCCCAAAACCCTAACCCCCTTTTCTTCCCCTTCTCTGGCTTCGCTTTGCACATCACCCTCGACGGGAGCAGATAATAAACGGCCACTAGGGT